CCCACACACACACTCCCTTTCCCTTCAACAAACATTTTGGAGCACAAAAATTCTGTACAAGAGCTAAGTGGAACAGTCAGTTGATCTGTGAAAATTTAGAATAACCGAACAAAATGGACTATAACAAAATTGAAACGATGAAACAAAACAAGCAAAGTAATTTTAATAATTCCAGATGACCTGTGCTCCCTTTCTTTGTTTTTGAATATCCATTAAGTAACCATAATAGTATTTTCAAGGGCCTAATTGAACCAGGTATCACTCGACTGCACGCTTATTTAAAAAAAAAAAAAAAGAAATACACAATCTTTTGTCAAAAGGAATGATGCTCTTAGTTTCTGAAGAGTACAACATAATTGTCATTATTAGCCTATTTTTGAAACGTCCCAAAATAATCTTTATTCAACTTTTCCGAAGCAAAATGAATTTTTTGTTTGATAGCTGTGAACTACATTTGTCAATGATAATATTTTTTTAAAGATCGAATAAAGTATAACGCATCAGATTGGGGCGAACTAGGAAAAATTTGACATAAACCATGGCTGGCGCTGTTACACACATGCGTTCATTCTACAAGATCGGATGAAAGTCGACACGACTTACAGTAAGTTCGGGCCCTTGGAATAATTTAACAAACTTTAAACCGGAACAAAGTCGGGGTTTTTTTGTGTTCCGCTCTTGCTCTTTTCTGTTGTAGCTGATAATGAATAAGTGTATAATTTCTTAGACCAGTACTGAAGCACAAACCACCTGGACTTACCCGAGCAAGGAGGCTGCTTTATAGGCCATAATATCAGATTTTTACTTGTCTTTTGTTCTCCGGCGAAGAGCAGTGTCAATCTCAGTTCAGAACTTTGTTTTCCAATAGGGTACTCATGTTTTATGTATTTTATGAGAAAAAAAAGACTCTCTCTCTCTCTCTCTCTCTCTCTCTCTCTCTCTCTCTCTCTCTCTCTCTGTGACGCGCTTTTCTAGCAGGAAATGAAAGTGTGGCTCTGGCCAGATGGCAGTGGCCTAATTTTACCATCATTGTCCTGTTTACGGTCGAGGAAATCCTGCAGCACACAGGATGTTGTCTGGCTGGATTTTACTCAAGAGCTGCTTTTTTTTCACTGTCCTTTTTGGAGGAGGTGAAATAAGAAGGGTTAACTTCCATCGTGTGTCTGTATGATTTGTCGCAGGGTTAAGTTCTGTCATGTGTCTGTATGATTTGTTGTAGGGTAAAGTTCTGTCATGTGTCTGTATGATGTATTCTTTTGGCAGGGTTTAGTTCCGTCGTGTCTGTGTATGGTGCATTCTTTTTGCGGGGTTAATTTCTGTCCTGTTTCTGTATGATTCATTGCAGGGTTAAGTTCTGTCGTGTCAGTGAGGATCTGATTAACATTCCACTTTTATGCATCATAGAAGGAAACAGCATCTGTGAAATGACCCAGTGCAAGTTCCTTATTTACTCTTTGTGGTTTCTACCTGTCATTACAACAAGCTCGTGTTTTCCTTCAGGATTTCAATCTGAGCGGGACCAAGATTGTGTCTTGTGGGATGGACCACTCGTTGAAAATCTGGAACCTGGAGAAAGAAGAAATCAAGAAAGCCTTGGCAGAATCTCATGTGAATAATGCCGCTAAGACAGACTGGTGAGTCCTTGTTTCTGCCTCCGTGCAACGCTTTATCCTCGCTGCTGCAACATTCTATATAGCTAACTCATTTTCTATCAAATTTTCAGGAGAGGGACAAAATAAAGTGCTGACCCGTTCTAAACGGTTAACTCTGTTTCTGGAAACTTTACAAGATAGGAAAAAGCTAAGGTAGAAGGCTATTGTACATATTTTAGCTGTTTAGAACCAACGTTGTTGTAGCAACTCTCTGGATAGGTTAATCTGACTGAAAGTTATTTATAGGATGTGTTGTGTGATGTCAGTCAGGTAAAGGTGGGTGCATAGTTAATCAGCTGCAGGAGAACAAGTGTTCGAGTGTTCTGCGGGTGGGCTCCTCTTCTTTGAAAAAAGCTATTTTTCCAATACATGGCTTTTTCCAATTCATATGATGAATATTTTATTTTATTTTCTTCTAAACCGGCAGCCCTTTTCCGACTGAGTCGTGCAACTTCCCAGACTTTTCCACACGCGACATCCACCGCAACTACGTGGACTGCGTGCGCTGGCTGGGGAATCTGGTTCTGTCCAAGGTATGTGTCTTTAGGAACAGAATGGTGCTGGTGTTGTCCACACCCCCCGGGGCGGTGCCACTGACTGAAGTGTCTTTAAGCTATTCCCAAAGGGGGGAGGGACATTAACATATTCTTACGCATTGTAGAATTGTAAATGGGCTGATTCATCAGTGTCATGCTCATAACTGTGCCTG